ACACCCCCTCCCTATCTCCCGACAGCCTCCCACACTTGGCATAACGGACTCGGCCATGTCGATCTCCCAAACGTGAATCCTGAGTCCCGGGCCTCTTCGCCTGGCCCACTTCTGTCTGAATTTGCTCTGCCTTCTTCTTCTTGAGGTGCTTCAAATCAATCTACCACTTACGGGATCCAATAATCACATCATTCAGGGTCTCACACCTTGACATGCTCACAAACTACCGTGCCAATGGATGCTCTACGATAGCTGGCGCAACCTCCGCCCTAAACCGGGTCACAAACTCTTCCCAAGACGTAGCCTCCAACTCAATAAGTGTAACAGATTGTGTAATGAATTTCCAACAACTCCTTTCCGCATGATGCAAGATATCCAAGGAAAACCGAACCTTGGCTTCTATGGGATAGGGACTAGTGCAGAAGACACCTTCCATCTCCACAATCCAACGTGAACTCAGAACCCTGGCAATCCTCCCACAATCCCTAAGGGGCTGATATACAACTATGTCAGCGGATGACGTGAAGGACTCATACATCCCCTCACCAATTGGCTCATCACAAGAGCCTACACTTGATCCTGAACCTTCTCTATGCATGCTCATCACCATTCTGAAAAGCAATCATACACACGATCAAAACATACCCAAATAATCCTCATCCCACCGGCTCCCTAGATTCTCTGTGACTCTCCTCGAGTCGAGTATGGATCCTATGTTTTCAGTAGTACGGACCCAATACTACCTTCCACACATATCCATAATTTCCTCAAGAATCATCTTGAATCCTCCAAGTTACCTTCTCAAACTGATACTCAAATACCCGCAAAACAATGGAATTAGCCCACTAAGCACTTCCTAGGATCTCCTAGTTTTCCGACCTCACACTGCCATCAGCTGTTGAAGAACTCCCACTGATGTCAGCTAACTACATCATGAATATAATCACATGCCATAAAGCTTAGATAATCCTTTGAGTAAAAGACTCAACGCTACAACGGTTGGAATCAAACAAGAGTTGCGCAATAGGATCAAATCAATCACTCTGAGATTACTTAACCTTTGCAACATGTAACTTAACATATTCACTTAGGTAATGTTTGTTTTTTATCTGCAGATCTGCGTGGCCTCTTCTCTCTGCGCCGCGCAGACCACGCACAGACATTAGCATTCGTAGACTGTTTGTTTTTTTGAAGACTGCAGACCTAAAAATGTATGTGCGCCCTCTTCTTGGCGCAGATGTGGACCAGAGTCTTCTAACATCTTCAGACATCTTCTAGCCTAAAAAAACATATATATTTTTATTTTTTTTTAAGTTTTTTTTTAATTTATATTTTTTCCAACTTTATTAATGATAAACAATTTGAAAAAAAATTACAAAACTTAAAAAAAACGTTCGACGATACAAACATGATATTTTTGACAAATTTATAAATAAAGATTTATTACAATAATAGTCGTTGAAGTTGTTTATATAAATATGAAAAAAAAATCATAATCTATTCTTATATTTTTTTTGCCAAATTTTGTAAAACATTATTTAATACAGTATCGTCAATTTCTCGAGAAAATATTTATGATACGTTTTTAATGGATTTAATTGAAAAAATCGAAGTTTATTTCCATCCATTTATTTATCAAATTCTTTGATCACTAATTATAATGTTTAGTTATAACTTTGCAACCAAAGTTTTTGGTTTTTATCAAATATATACGTTAATTCATACCATTTTTATTTTTATTTTTTATACAATAATACATAAAAGTTGATCTAGATTCGTTAATTATTTATAACAAAGTCATAAAAATATTAAAAAATCACTTTGAAGTTTAAAAAAATCACTTTATTTAGATTTCAGTTTATTTTAGTAGCCCGTAGATGTTAAAAAAACAAACAGTCTTCTTTTTTCAGACTGCAGACGTTTGGTCCACCTCTTCTACTGCAGAGGTCTACAGATGTGGTCCGCAGATTGCATACATTTTGTCTCAGAAAAAAACAAACAACACCTTAATAGTTAATTCACATCACTAAGACTTCCACAAAGCACAAAGCTAGCAACATTCGAGCAATAACACTTCAAACCATAGACCAATCAAATGACTTCTCGAGCTCACTGGCTACCAACGTCTTTGCTATACTAACATACTTCCTAGGTCCTCCTAGGATTCCTCATCCCAACCTACCATCAGCTGCTGAAGGTCCCCTACTAATGTCAGTTAACTACTTCATGAATACAATTGCATGCAACAAAATTTAGATAATCCTTCGACTAAAAGACTCAACCTACAACGGTTGGACTCATACGAGAGTTGCACCATAAGGCCAAATCAATCAGTCTGAGATTATTTAACCTATGCAACATGAAACTTAACATATTCATTCAATAATTAGATCACATCAGTGTGAGTCCTACAAATCATGAAGCAAGTAGAATTCAGGCATTGGAAAGCCTAACCAGCGTACTAACTAATCAAGCCATTCTATCCAATCATCTGAAAACCATAGTAGCATGCAATTCTAAAAGCTCAAACAATCAGGCATATTAAGGCATCTCTCCTAACATGAAATCTTGAACAGATCCCTAGCCCTAATCTAGCATGAAATTCTCCTATCATATAACATAACAAGCATCAAATATAAAACCTGTGTGGGTATTTTGGGAAATACTTACTTGAGCTTGGATGATTGCACGTTTCACACCCCCTTTTCTTAGAAAACCTTTTTATAAAATCATTTTCTTTTAAAAGATTTTAGAAATCCTAGGTTTGAGTTCATAAACACTCAAGAGTATGTTTGAATCCCTCAAACCAAGGCTCTGATACAAACTTGATAGTCCCACATATTATAAGGTAAAAATTTCATTTTTAGTTCAACTATAAACACCATTTAATCATTTCAATAATTCGAAAGTATATCAAGGTAAAACAATTATCAGAGTACAAAATCCCAAAATCACATAATGCGGAAAACATGGGCAGATATAGTACGATCAAGTCGGGCCCTTCCATTTCGAGCTGGAAGTACATGAAACATAAACTGAAAACCGTAAGCACAAAGCTTAGTGAGCTCCCCCAAAATACGCCATACCATACATATGTATAATAGTCAAAGCATAACTTGGTCTATTTCAACCCCTTCGGTCTCTTTCAACTGGTACTGGGTCTATTTTAACCCCTTCGGTCTCTTTCAACCCGTACTGGGTCTATTTCAACCCCTTCGGTCTTTTTCAACCGGTACTGGGTCTATTTCAACCCCTCCGGTGTCTTTCAACCAGTATCGGGTCTATTTCATCCCCTACAGCTAGCATATAGTTATAACAGTAAGAGTCACAGAGACATCAAGCATATACAAGCATAACAGGTGATTGTCACGAAGACTAGGGGTGTGCAAGAAACCACACAAACCGCGTAAACCGCCCGCACCACACCGCATATTGCGGTTTTGGACTTTTGCGGTGTGGTTTGTGGTTTATAGTTAGAAAACTGTGGTTCAAACCGCACCACATCGCATATATATATATATATATATATATATATATATATATATATATATATATATATAATTTGATTACAGTACTAATATTTACCATATAAAAACTATTATACATATTTTACAAATCGAATGTCCAGCCATAAATATGATATAACACAGTGCTGCATATTTGATAACTTCTAACTATGACTAATTGATTATTGTAGCATGTTCTTTAATTTATCTTTTTTAAATTATCATTGCATCAATTGTTTAATTCGACTGTAGATATCGTTTAATAAATTTGGAGTTGTGTTCTATAATATTTTTTCATAATGTTGGTCGTTATATCAAAACAACGAAAAAAGGAATGTCAAAAATATATGGATCGGAAAGCAATGCATAAATTGGCAAACATAATGACATATATATTACGTATTCAGATATTACCGAATCTAAAATTGAATGATACCAATAAAAGTAATAAGGTTAAGTATCTTGTCAAACCGCACATAAACCGCAAACCGCATGTGCCAAACTGCATCGCATAGTGCGGTTTACGGCTTTCGCGGTGCGGTTTGTGGTTTGGAAAAATCGTAAACCGCATATGCAGTGCGGTTTGCGGTTTTCACTCTAAACCGCACCAAACCACACCGCGAACACCCCTAACGAAGACAATCATCGTCCTACAAACATATCTAGTGGGCCGGCATTAGTTCCTTCGACCCATGAATATAGCGAAGGAAACTCACCTCAGTCTGCTGACAATCCAATAGATGCTCGAGCTATTGGACCAGAGAATCCCCGTGCTAACCAATTAAATACAATTGTGATTAATAATCAGGTCATAACCATAATCATGACTTAATTCACTAATTCCGACTCCTAGAAGACTATTTTACCCTTCCCCTCAACTGGCCCAAAGACCAAGGCCCAAAATCAATGGCACTAAAAGCCCGATAACCGAACCAAATCCAAAAGACACCCAAGGCCCAATACAGGCCCAATTCTTTAAAGGCCCAACCGAAAGCCCAAAAATTCAACTATCCATCCTCACGTCGTGACCAGTCCTTGGTCATGTCGTAAGATCTCACTCAGTCCGATTCCAACTCATCCCGACTCAACTCAGTCGACTCGTACATGAAAAGTCACCAGAGCTGACCTCACGTCATGAGATCCTCCTCTCACGTCGTGAGCTCCAAGAAGCTAACCAGAAACGGGATCATTCAACCCTCACGTCATGAGCTCCAAGTCTCACGTCGTGAGATCAGTCTGAAGCCAAAAGTCTAACTTTTAAGTCCTTAATCTATTAAGCCTTGAACTCTAACTTTCCATAAGGTCTTATAACTCCATAATGCACTGGAAAGTCGATGCTTTTAAGACATATATGTCATAAGAAATTAAGCAATATTCATACTCGATATCTAACTCAGGCATTGGAGAGCAATATTGGGACAATCTTTTGATAATGCTCCCTAACCTAGTGTTTACTTATTTTGAAACGTAACTTCCTCTGCTGCTCTGAAGGACATGATCACTCTCATCCTGATCGGCTGTCCAGGAAGCTACATAGCATCATTGACACCATCCAAAAGAAACATGCAAGAAAAACAACAAGACTTGTGCCCCTTATCAGACTCACCTTTTAGTCCAATTAATTTAATCCCATCATTCACCCTAAATGTGGTGGCGTCACCATGTACCACCCTACCAATAATAACACTATCTCAACCAACAACACATAACCCTTCTCTGGAAAACTCACAAGCCGATAGAGGGTCAATCAGACAACCACCTATCGAGGCAAGGAAGACTAGGAAAACAAAATTTATCATGGTAGAAACAACAAGCAACTCCAACACAAGGTAACTGAACACGTCCAAAAGATCCAAAACATCCAACCAAAAATATCAATGCCACCACCATTTGGAAACAACAACAATATCGATGCAACATTTAGCGACAATAATACCGATGCAACAAAATGTCCAACCATACATATCAATGCCACCACCGTTCCCGACACACTTACAACAATATTTGGCGACAACAACAATACTGATGCAACAAAAGGTTCAATCATACATATCAATTCTACCACCATTCCCGACACCCAATACCAGGCATTCTGGCTGCAACAACCCCAACAAACATATCTACCCCGAGCCATTTTTGGAAATCAAGTGACACCAAAAATTCAATGGACACAACAAGCAGCAAACAACAATGCACCTATAGAAAGAAACATAAATGTCAACCATTGTTGCGTCCTGCAATCATACCTTTCACCCCTTATAAAAATTATCTAGGAATACCAACTAACAGTGGGCACGAACTTACCAGAAATTTCAAAATATGATGGATCAGGTGATCCGAATGATCATATAGAAAACTATAAGTGAATAATGGATGCTTACTAACTGGATGAAAAATATCGATGTATGTTATTTCCAACCACATTGTCAGGGCTAGCAAGGTTGCGGTATAAAAGTCTGTCGGTGTAGAGAATACACGATTTTAATCAACTATGAAAAGGACTTGTGGGACATTTCATACAACAAACAAAATACACAGCAAACGCTTAAGCTATCCTAAGATGTAGGCAACAAGAGGACGAATCATTACACACCTTTGTGTACCGATTCAATAAACCAACTGTAACATCCCAAAAATCATGACCAAAAGTTTTGTTTTTAATTAATTAACTTCTAAAACCGTTTACTGAAAAACATCATCGATATCATATCAAACTCATAAACCCATAAGTCAAATGTCATAAAAACATGTCACAGAATAATAATAATGTCATAGTACAATCCCAAGAACATCATAGTGCGGAAATCATGTGTGTGTACGATGCGCTGCTACCGTGCCGGGTCCTTCCCCTTCAATGAAGAGGTACCTGAAAACAAAACTGTAAACTGTAAGCACGAAGCTTAGTGAGTTCCCCCATCATACCACATACCATACATAACTCATACACTCTAACATATCTGGGTACTACCCCCTTCGGTCTCTTTCAACCGGTAACTTGCCTAGCATATCAGGGTGCTAGCCTACCCATTCAGTCCTGTCGACCGGTACCTAGGCTAGCATATCAGGGTGTTGGCCTACCCCTTCGGTCCTATCGACCGGTACCTAGCCTAGCATATCAGGGTGCTGGCCTACCCCTTCGGTCCTGTCGACCGTTACCGGGGACTATTTCACCCCTTACTTCCACCACATAGCATCCTAGTGCATAACATATCAATCATGTACTGCCTAGCTTATTCGGGTGCTGGCATACCCCTTCGGCCCTATCGACCGGTACCAGGGTCTATCATACCCTTCCTATCATTATCACATATCATCATAGTATACCAATACATAAACATAACATACCAGATAATCATCACGAAGACAATCATCTAACAAACAAATCCTACTTATGGGCCGGCATTGTGGCCGTAGACCCACTTCTACTGGAAGGTAACTCACCTCGTAAAGCTGAGTGTCGAATCTCACGGGAAGTAATCTCTAACAGCTGCTCCGATGACTCCCGGATATGATAATCATAATAACACTCAATCAAAATCCATAACACTACTTAGGGTAAAATGACCATTTTACCCCCTTGGCCTAACTTGAACCATTCCTAAGGCCCAGTTCTAACTTATTAAACCCAGTGCACCCATGGCCCATCAAAGGCTCCCTGAGGGCCCACTAATGGCCCAATTTTCTAAATTGGGCCCAACTCTTCAAATCGGCCTTTTCACAAGTCGAATAAATCCTTAGCCCAAAATGAATAATCTCGAGTGGCCCAATATGGCCCCAAAAGGCCCAATACTTCTAAATCCAAATTCCCAGGCCCAAAACTATACTCCACAGTGGGCCACGGGGACCAATAGTCCAGGCCCAGCCCTCTAAGGCCCAAAATCCCAATGTATCCATCTGCATGCGTACGCGTAGCATACCTGGCACGTACGCCCATCGTATGCTGGCCTTGACCGTAAACGGGGAGTTGACCCAGTACGCGCAACGTACTGGCCAACTTTCTTGGGACTTCATTTGTGACTTAATCCATTAAGTCTTCACGTCCAAAGTGTAGATCCATGTCCTTTAAGACCTCCTAATCCATAAAGTCACACACTTTATGTGCTTGCATGCATGGTTGGGGTCAAAACATGATTTTGGTCCTTTTAACAAGCTTTAAGACCATCAAACACTTGCATGGTTGTGGATTAACCATCAAGGTCCGATTTTTATGACTCTAAATGCCTCTAAGAGCTCAAAAGGACAACTCTTTTGGTCTGAAACTAACAAGATGCAAGCAACCTCAACAATGGAGTCCAAAAGTGACATTAAACACTCCTATAAACAAATCTAAGCATGCAATGGTCAAGTTTGGAACTTGATACCTCAAAATAGTCAGAAATGATGCCAATCTCCTTAATCTACAAGCTCCTCTTGAATCCTCGCTTCTTCCTTAACTTCCTTTTCTTCTAAGAACACCAAAATCACACAAAGAAGCTCTCAAATGGAAAAAATACACAAGAGTGGGTTAGGGTTTTCAAGGTGGCTGCTTAAGGGTGATAGGGAGGCTGGTCCAAGGGAATAATGTCCTTTATATAGGGATCAAACCCTAAAAGTTAGGGTTTTGGTCTGAATGGAGTACGCCCCGCGTACCTCTTTGTACGCCCGACGTACTCAAGAACCACTCGCGCCCCTTTTAGCCTTATACGCTGGGCGTAACCCAGCCTACGCTGGGCATTCCCATCCGGACACGTGCATGCACCCCTTGCATGCATGGGGCTTACCTGCCAAACATTCCCATTAAGGACAAAAAATGACAATAACTTCAACGTGCTATAAATTCTTCATTCTAAGTCTGTTTCCGACGAACTTTATATCCACGAAAAGGTGGCGAAAAGCCCTATGCTCCCAGATACACACCCGAGCCCTTTCAACCATCCGGATAAGACCCAAGACCCATAAAATACCGAATCGTCCGATTACGCTTATACTCTTGGCTTCCGTGGTCACAACCGAACACTTTCAGAACTGGGTGTTACACCAACACTCAATGCCCCGAGACGAGCAGACAACATGGTGATCGTTTCTTTCACCTATAAATTATGCAAAGGAGTTTTGTTCAAAAATTTGGCTGGAAAACCACCCAAGTCAAGGAAAGGACATGATGGAAAGGGACCATCATTTTAACTTTCATGAAGCAAGAAGAGGAAACGTCCAAAAAAACTGAATATGATCAAGGAGATATGACATATAATAACAAGGACAACCGTACGCCTTACATCAAAACTCCAAGCCAAGAAAACCAAAGATATGGCAATGTTCGGATGAAATGACATACCCATTTCCTATAATAAGGTTGAAACTACCCGCCAAAAAGAAATGGAGGCAGAAACGAAGTAGTAATAATAGCTGAAGGCAATAAGAATACCAAGTAAAACAAGATGACATGTCAAACGATATGGAACATGGCCGGTACTATGAGTTTTATTACTCTACCAGACACGACACAATCAAATGTACCATGATGAGAAGGAAAATGTAAAACAAGATGAAAACTGGGCAATTAAGCAATTTAATAAGAGGGATTTGGCTCAAGAAACTAGAGAGCATTGCGTCGATAGAATCGGAAAAAGTGAAATTTTCATGTTTAGACAGCCAGAACAATTAGAAGCAAGTCATGATTAGGAAGGAGATAAATTTACGTTTGACGAATGGGACTATCATAGCAACAATCACCAAGGAGACGAGCTAATGGTCATTGGGGAATTCATAGGGAAGAATACATAAATGATATATACATGGTCAACGGTAGTTCTACAGACGTCCTGTATAAACACTTCTACAGACAACTACTGAGTTAAATGCAAAAAAAGATGGAACCATCGGAGACGCACTTAATCAGTTTTTCCGGTCACATCATGTGACCAGAAGGCACAATCACTATGATATTAACATTATTTGATTACAATACCCGGGCAATCAGATTTATGGTCCTTAATGCTGAGAGAACAAGATAGATCTAATGCGCCGGGACAAGGTTTGAAAACTCAAACCTTGAGTTAATGCTTAAGATCAATATCTGCTTGCTAATAAATGTTCAAGTCAAGCCTGGAAAGACCAGTCAAGTCTTAGATAATATATTCAACAAATGATCAAGTCATTAAATGAGAAATGAGAATAAATGATCAAGGTAAAGCTAATAAATGAGGAACAACAATAATGTTTGAAAGAAGTTTGAAGTAACTTAGTAAGATGCCAAAAGTTGAGTGAAAAGATCCGTTGTTGACTTGTATTGAATGCTCCTAACCGAAATCCTCCGAGTCTAGGGGGACCTTTCATAGAACTGAAATATAAAATCCTCCACCCACCTCAGAGGCTGGCAGACTCACACATGGTCCCTCCATAAAACTCTGACTAAGAGTCCAACTAATAAGGGCTACTCAAGCCTAACCACCACATGAATGTCAGCCAATCGCCCCAGAGTCATCTCAATCTAAACGCAACTCGATACTTTGATCAAGCAGATCCTACCAGATCTCACACACACTATCCAATCGAACGGGCCCATCATTGCCTCAGATCCATCAATCCTCCTACTACTAAAGAAATGGTCGTTCATCAATGCTATCCTCCTCGACCCATGCATGCATTGATATTTCCTCAGTCCATCTGACCACTCGAACTATGGCCTCCCTCATACCGGTGAATGCTACGATCCCGTCGCAGACTTTCAACACTTCCACAACTGCTTATCAATCTGGTGAATGCTACCGCTAGTCTTACAAAACTTCCATATCGCCATGGACCCACCCATGGTCTTATTTTCTGTCTACTATACCAACCATAATCATCATGAG